TGTAAACTATTTTGTAAAACTGCACTCAGTGAGCATGGTTTTTAGTTTAGAATAGATTTAAGAAGTCAGGAGGGGAATAGAGTGATTCCCTTTGAAAAAGAGGCTTAGGAGGGATGAAACTGTGAGGCAGGTAAAAAAGTGACTTTAAGCAGTTTATTTGCAGAGTCATTTCCCCAGGATCTGCCATCCAGCAGTTAAAAGTAAGCTATCTGCATGCTGGTTGGTAAAACAGCACATAAAGGCTTGTTTAGGGCACACAGAATTATGCTTATGCTGAGTGAAGAAAGCAGGCCTCACTGGACCAAGCTGGTCTGTCTTGTGGAAGGAAAATGACAGAATGTATGAATTCCACAGTGGGGGGACTATGGGAGGGGCCAATGGGGAAGGGGTGTAAAGATGAGTAACGTAGCTCTCAAGTTTAAGCCAAAGCATATTTTGGAGACTGAATATTTCATTTAAAAATATTTAGCATTTAATAGGATTCATGCCCTTTATATGAAGGCAAGTTCAAAGAAAAACACTAATTCTCCATGGGCATGATTTTTTTTTCCTATAGATACCAATATTTAAGAAGATTAATTCACCTTCTGGAAGAAAAGAGAGATGGTACCCACAAAATGTGAATATTTTCTAATTCCCCATATTTCAATTCTTAATCAACCAATACCTTCCTCTAATGTTTAAAATGCACTTGTTCCCTTATGAATGGCACACCATTTAGTTACATGAGAATTAATTTCTTTTATTGGTTCTGTTTTTGGGCAACACATTCTTAACTTGTGGCCTTATTCATAAAAAATACTTAGATATAACACCCAGACACTTTAAAAGAAATTTTCTACAAAAGGTCATTCATAAATTGAAGGAAATATTTTACAAAGCAGATATTTAAGGTTTCTGAGTTTTAAAAGATCAGTCATTTGTGTTTTTTTTCCTACTTTACTCAGCTGTCCCTTGAAAGGAAGCAGATCGGGCTAAAATGTCAAATAAGAACACCTGACCTCTAATCAACTGTAAAGTTTCTCCTAGTTCCTTATGAAAGTGACTGAGAATTGATAAGTATTTGCTTTAAAAACTAATCACCTGGGATAGTCTCACTCTGTAGTGAGATCACATTTGGGGACATTGAAAATTATAAATTAAGTATAAAATGAAGGTCTGTTTAATCTAGCCAAGATTTTAATTTTCAAAAATTGAAAAGTACAATTTTTGTTTTTATTATTTGCTTCTCAATTTAGCAGTCATGATTTTTTTTGGCTCCGCAATGTACATTGTAATTGGTTCTAATGGAGATGAATTCCTCTCATCAGGAGCTCCCATTCAGTGAGTGAGACAGAAAGCAGCCTTGCATATCCTGCCCATATATATATATATATGAAATGAGTCAATATTTTGCTAGAACAAGATGTCAAGTTGCCTTCTAAACTAATAAACCAACCACATCCAGTTTTTGAAGTGTGGGGATATTTTTTCCAGGACACATCCTCTCCCATTATATAGCAGGTAGGAGGGAGGCAAAGATCCTTGAAGACATACTCCTTTTTCAACTTTCCTAGAGACACTTGACTTTTCTCTGATATGGACTGCTCTTTGTCTAGGACAATTTTTTTTTTTGTGTGTGTATGTCTCCTGGTAGTTCTCTAATTCTTTCCATCCTTCCCCTGCCTAGCTTTTGCCGGCTTTGAAACATGATTGCAAGCTCCAATGTATAAGCTGGAGGCATCCTAGCTTCCTGTGGTGTCAGCAGGAGACCCCAAGGAAGGGCAAGTCACAGTCCTTCACTCAGTAAAAGGCACAGCCTAGGGGCCAGGTTGGCCATGGCTGACAAGGCTCAGTGCCACAGAGGCTGCAAGAGGTAAGACTAAGCCTTTACATTTCCTCTCTGTTCAGTGCTAGAGGCTGAAGAGCACATCTTCAGTGATAACAAGGCCACTTCTGAGGAGTGCTCCCGGGCATGGCACTGTACGGTCTCTTTAGGATGAGCACAGGCCAATGAAGGGATGAGCTCATTCCTTTTCTCTGGCCAGACACATGATTGAATCTGAAGGAAACAAGATTTGGCCAGAATACATATCTTGTGAACATTTCCTTGTTGAAAACCTCGCTGGACAGTGCAGAGTAGAATGTCTGAAACAGAAAGCAAAACTAAGAACTAGAATCACTTGCCTGGATGCAACAGCCTCTACACGGTGCCATAGTTAGAATGACCCCGATCAGCTGCTAACTGCCAGGTGTTACCTTAGAGGCCTGCCCTTTTCTTTATCCTATTCCTATTCTAAGGAATAACCAGAAAATGAAAGGCAGTGAAAGGAAAACAAGAAAGAGAGAGATCAATCTAATTTACGTCTGATGAGTGACAAACTTGGTAGAACTTGAGAACTTGTGGAAATCCTTGTGGATTTCTTGGGATGGGAACTGAAACAGTCACAACTTCATTATTCGAGCTAAGAAGATGAACACATATTGCCATAGTAAGTAGGGGCTTGTGCTGAATATTCCTTAGAAAGCCACTGAGGTAGGGGTTTCTTCCTCAGATCTGTTATGTGTAGGTAGGCAGCATCTAGGACTTCGGCGTATCTTAGGAGGTTGTACAAAATCACATGAAGACAAAGGAGGGAAAAATTTTGTATGGCCCTATTTTGTAAAATCTTTTTATTTGAGTGTACGTGAATGAATGATGAAATAATAGCATTAAATACTGAAATGTTAATTTTATCTTTTGATTTTTTAAGCTTTACCCATAACAATCTCACATTTGCTTTGAATTTGAAAATTTGAATGTAAAATTTATTTCTATTTAAACCTATGACTGTCAGTCTGCATTATTTCAAATTGTTTAAACATGGGCAATTTTTTCCTCACTTCCTTTTCCAGAAGATTTAGCTGTATCTGTGGTTTTTCAGAGGAGTAGGGTGGGTCGTCAGTGCTCCTGCCCTGGTCCAACTTCCTGTCTATCACTGACAAAGACCACTTTCCATTGTGGACTGCTTCACAGTTCATAGGCTTTCTTTTTCTTCTTTCTTTTACATTTTATATAAAGTCCTCACCTTACGGGGACCATAGCTCCATCTCCAGTACTGACATGCCACACACAGTGGTAGACTGGGATCAAGTCCCAGTTTTTGCCATCCATATTTTTTGCCTTCGGGTACAGCTTTTGTTTGTCTGGATTGTAGGTGAATGTGGAATTCTGTACATAACAGGCACAGCTCTAGGTTTCTTCTTAGGACGTGAGCTTAGTTAGCACTATCTTCCAGGTTTCCAAACTCTTTTTAATTTTGAATCTAGTTTTATTCTATAGGAGGAAAACTCAGTGGGAGTTGCATGAGCTGACTGGAGGGAAACAACCCAGGCTACAGTGTGTGTACAATGAGCTTCCAGAAAGCCCACTGTGGTTCTCTTGAACTTAGTGGAATCAGGGCAGAGTTGATTGTATTAAATTCTGATTCTTAACAGAGTATCATGAAATTTATAAAGAGGAAGAAGAAGAAGAGGAGGGACAGGTGGAGGAGGAAGGTCTTCACACACACATAAACATTTTCACAGTTTTTGGTGGTTTATGGGCATCTTAGAAACATATGAACCACCTTCACCACCTCTGTACCAAACGGTGTAGACCCAGGACTTTGATGAAGGGGAAGCTTCACTTTCGTGTTTATAGAAAGTGAGCAAAATGGATTTTTCTATGGGAAATAGCAACTGAAGGCATGAAAAAGTGAAGTAAAAAGAACATCTACATTGCATCGTGAGCAAAGTTCATCAGTGATGAAGGGAAGTCCAGGGATGGAAATCAACTCTAATGTTACGCATCCATTTAGCCAGGCTGCAGTGTCCAGATATTTGCTCAAAAACTGGTTTAAATGTCTCCCAGTGTCTGTTAGATGAGATATATATATATATATATAGTTAAATAGAGAGGTTGTTCTCCATAATGTAGGTGTATGCTAGGGGGATGATGGTAGTTTGGGGATTGATGGGAGAGGGGGGCATGAGGGAGTTTCTTGAAAAGGCAGAAATGTTCTGTTTTGACTGATGCACTGGACTTTCCAGTGTGTGCCTTTCTAAAAATTAATCAAATTGGACCCTTAACACCTGTGCGTATGTAAGTTTTATTTCAATTAAAAATACCCATAATTGTGATTTTTTTTCATGACAGTCCTTTTTTTTTTTTTATTCTATAGAAAATTAGGCTTCCCATGTCTTTTTCTTGGTTGTTGGGATGGGAAAAAGAAAAAATGATGTAACTCAAATATTTTCTTTAGAAGTTTCTCTAGAGAATTCCATAGCCTTTGAATGTTCTCTGAATATCCTCAAAGTTCCTGGTTGCAGATTTATGACTGTGATTTCTGTCTCCAGCCCATGAGCTCTATGTTTAGGTCTGACATCAATGTTGGGAGTGGGACAAAAAGCAGAAAATATGGACCTTAGAGCCAGCCATGTTCACTAATCATTTCCCTCTTTCTTGTACTGATGATACATATATAAATATATTCACAGATATATATATATATATATCTTAGAATACTTGAAGGGCTAGATATATGTGAATCTTGAATCTGGGAATTTAGATTGTATAATATTGTTCCAGGGTCTTCAGAAGTTGAAAACAAAGCAGGACTCTGTTTTTTCCTGTGCTCTTTAAACAGTGACCCATATTTAGTCTTGTGTGAGCTACCACAGGCCTACCCTTGTGTCTGACACCCACAGGCAACATCTACCTAAACAAACCTATTAGCCTGTCAGGAATGAGCATCCAGCAACCCTCATGTCACATCTCAACAACACACTGAGCATTTCCTTTAGAAATGACTTGGGGAAGGTTTCCACAGATTTTTTTTTTTTCCATTTTGCATGCCTCATGGTAAATATTGTTTAAAAAATTAAAAATCATTTTTAACAATTTACAAGTGCTCATATAAGGAAAAAAATGACTAAAAAAGTCCACCCAAGCACCTAGAACTCATCTAGCAAACAAGGCTAATAATGTTACATAGGCTGTGACCAAAGACGGAGTAGATCCGTGTTCACTGGCCGGCAAGGGGCACAGTCCACTGTCTGGAGAAAGGTTGATGCGTCGGATCCCGAGTGCCGGAGGCTGGTGTTGCTTTGTTCCCTAAGTCAAGTCCAGGATCCGCATTTCAGAGTCAATGCCATTACTTATTTCGACCTGAAAAAAAGAAAATATGAACTGCTTTAAAGAACCTCAGTGGTGGAAAAACGCACAGCCTGTCTCTTCATCCAGGCCCTTTGAAATGCAAAGCAGCTCAGGGTGGGCCTGCTTTTGGCTGACTTGCAGCTAGAAAGGCAGAAAGCTGAGCTTTCCTGCTTTCCAGATTAGCATGTGGCAGTCCAGAAGAGGGAGGCCTCACGGCCACACAGTTGTGAAATGTGGTGAACTCACTGCCTCAGAGGGGAAAAAGACAAGGTAACATATCTCCCCAGGTGACTAGCCACACCCTTGCAGCATCCTCCTGTGGTCTGCTCAAGAGGTGCCTGTTCTAGTCGGCCTTTCATGCCAACTAACCATGGACCCGGGTCTCTTCCATATATCTGTGCTAGGATGCCTAATTTGATGTATCCATTTGGCTCGTCCACTGTGCTCTGGTATTTGATCAAAAACTAGTTTATGCCTGGCCATGTCTTTAAATGCAATTAACATTTAAATCAATAGTCTAAATAAAGCAGAACTGAGTTCCATAATGTGGGTAGGCCTCATGTAGTCAGTTGAATGTTTTGTCATAGAATAGTGAAGTTCCCCGGGGAAGACGAGATTCTGTCTCTAGATCACTTGCATTGTTAACTTGTCCCTGCTCTTCAGTCTGCCAGCCTCACCTGCCAGATTGTGGACTTGCCAGTTTCTGCAACTGCATAGGATTTCTTCTAAAACTTTTTTACTTGTTTTATTGTATGTGTGTAAGTACTTTGTGTGTAATGCCTGAAGAGGCCAGAAAAGCCAGTTGTAATCACCGTTTGGGTGCTGGGAACTGAATGAACCCAGATCCTCTGAAGAGCAATCAGTACTCTTAACCGCTGAGCCATCTCTCCAGCCCCAGGTCAATATTTCAAAACTGGTACCTCTCTTCTCTCTCTCTCTCTCTCTCTCTCTCTCTCTCTCTCTCTCTCCTCCCTCTTCCCCTCCTTCTCTTCCTCCTCTCAGTCTTCTCCCTCTCAGCCCCCTCTCTCCCTTTACCACCAATGTACATTATAGTAATGTTGTTTCTCTGGCAAACTTTGATTACTATACCCTCATGTGTTGAGTCACTCCGGCTCCACATTTGTGGCAGCCTGTGCACTCCCCTTTTTTGTAGCCTTTGGGCAGTCTGTGTCAGCACCGTACTTGCTGTAGAGCTGGCACTTAATAAAGGTGATTGGACACGTTAGCTCTCACTGTTCCTCTCATGCAAAGTTTTAGCTGATTCAAATCTCTGTTACTCTGGAGGCCCAATGGAAACTTGCCCAGAAGACTACCGGTACCCAGCCACACAGTTGGGCTTCCTGCAGAAGCTCTCGTGATGTCAGAGTGCTGGCGTCCAGCTTCACCACACACTGTGCTGTTTTCCTCAGCCATGTTAGTTTTTTCTCTTTAAACAAATTTTAAGTGTCCTAGCCATGAAGACAGTTTCACACTTATTTTATATCCCTATCCAGAAACTTCTTTTCCATTAACCTGGTTTAGTGACTCTATGGCTTGGAATGGGATTTTCAGAAATAATCTGAAATAGTTGCAAAAAACCTTCAACTTTCCAGTTTCACTTTGTTTCTCTCTTACCCCTACAAGTGGCGTTTTCCTCTGGCACACCCCAGAGACCCCCAGTCCTCTCCTGATTTTATCCACTCTTCTGTTTCTCTGGGGAGGGGGGTGAGTGACAAGCCAGTAAGCCTAACCCTTTTTACCCTTTGCATTTTAACAGGGAGAGGTAATGAGATGAGATCATAATGATGAATTTTATAGTTTTATACAATCTCAAGTTAGCAGGGAGAGTGCAGGTTTGAAGCTTGTTTATCCATCAGACACACAAACTCATTCCTAGTGAGGCTTCATGTGTGCTACAGATAAAAGCAAGCATGCTCCTGGCATCTGGAGAGGGAGAGGGAGAGGGA